TTTATGTATCATTTGACTTATTTAGACTCTAAATTACTTTTACTGGAGTCTGTAATTATTACGATCTGAAACATTTTCATTATTACGATTTGACACAAATTACGATCTGAAACATTTTTGTTATTACCATTACGATTTGACACAAATTAATTGACCGTAGTATTTGTGTAACCGATTATAGTACCCGTGTAGTACCCGTGCAACCGATCATATTACACTTGCATGATTACATCATAATTATCATTGTACTGCATATTGATCGACATAACCTGGCACAGAATGTAGGGGTGCGTTAGGGTTAGGGTTAAAATTTTACAGAAAAGATTTTTTATTAGTTACACAACAGGGGTTACCCTAGTAAAATCTAACAAGCTTATTCTGCTTCAAAAACCAAATCTGAAATTCTGATCTCTAAAAAAAACCAGCTATTTTGTTAGTAACTATTTTTTTATTTTTTTTAGTGCGTGTTAAAATTCAAACAAAGCCTTTTTTTTCTTTACCTAGTTCAGAAAGTTGCGTCTAAGCTAACTTCTCTAAATAAGAGATTATAAAAGACTAATTTTAGAGTTAACTTTCTAGCACTAGTTGTGACGATTTTTTGCTTGTGTAACTTTACCTCCTTAAAAAGTATAAATAAGTTACCCGGGCAGTTGATTTATATCAGCCAATCAGACAGAAGTCCTTCTATGAGATTGGTAGAGAGTCACTCGCTGAGTTTTAATTTGAATACTGGAATAAACATAATTACATCGTAACACATGAAAAAAAATAACAAAAAATTTTTTCATGATCATATGAGTTTGCCGGATAATCGTTCAATATTTGTAGTTTCAACGCGTGAAATATTCAATTTTTAATTAAAAGTATGAACAACGGCTATTTACAATACACCTCGCCACCAGATTGGAATTTAGACGCCTTTGCAGATTGGGTTGCTACCAATCATTCTGATGACAAAAAGAAAATAAGAAAAAAAGTCTTGAGATATACAGCAACAACATTCACATTAACCCAGACGCAAGGCAAAAAGCAGATGAATTACTTTATAATATAAAGGTGAGAATTTGAACACGTACTTTTTTTGGCACACCCAAGGGACTATTAGTCATCCGGGTGTTGAACTATTAGTTCGCCAACCAAATCACATCTACGGCACATCCAAGGGACTATTAGTCATCCGGGTGTTGAACTATTAGTTCGCCGCAGATTTTTACAATTATACTGGCCTTTATTTGTGTTTTGTCTTAAGAATGAGCTAAATACATTTTTTATTTAATGAACATATGGGAAAGAATTGGAAGAGTGACAAGGCTAAGATCGGTTATTTCCAGATATTAAAGGATAAGAGGAAAATAGCTGTGTTACAAGGCGAACAAGAAGCGCTACTAGCTGACATTGAATGTTCAGCGGTAATTTGATCTCTATACATCTATATATTAATTTTAAAATTATACTAATTAATGATCTTGCAGATCCGACAGATGCGAAATCATACAAATGCAGCAGTAGCAATTCAACAACGAATTGCTGAAAAATTCATAGGTTACTCGAAAAATTTCTACAAATAATGTAGTAGGAAAAGATCAATGCTTGTGGAAACAAATCAGCCCATATGCAAATTGTTACCCATAATATTAAATTTTGAATATTTTCTTTACCCATACCGAAAAAGAATCTAAAAGCGATTTATAAGTTAATTAAATATTCGAGAAATTCATAAAGCTTGCAGAGTTTATGTTCTGGGTTTATAGCTTACGTACATACGTATTGTATTTAAATTTTTCTAACTCAGGAAATTCCAAATTCCATTCCCACTAGAGTTATTTACTAAATATAAATTTATTAATAAATCTATTGAACATTCACTGAATTTTATTAATAAATTTATATTCAGTGAATAACGAGTCACATCACTAATCTGTGTAATAGTATTTTTTTAATAAAATCTTGGATTATATGATTCTATTTGTATCGGAATGATCTTAATCCCAAACTCTGGCCAAACTAATACAGTGGTGGCAGATAAAGGAAAAATTTATATATAGTGTAGCCACATCTATAAAAGCCAATCAAATTTCAAGATCAGGTGTAACATAACATGATCAGGAAATTTCAAAACAAACGTTCATTTTGTCAAAAATCGAGTATAACTCAAAATTGAGTATTGAAACTACTCTTTAGCTTCTAAAAAAAAAAATTCCTCGCCAAATTTTACTGTAAACCACCTTCCTTTGCCCGCATACTACCTTTACCTCACTCTAATCCTAACTAGAAAAAGAGTTATTTTGATTGTCTTGATAGTTACGTTACACCTGATTCTACATGTAGCCTATAGCTACAAAGATATTAATTCAATAATAAAAAATAAAAAAAAAATACCAATTTAAATTTAAATTTAAATTTTAGTAAATTTAAGTTAAGTTTTATTATATGTACTAAAAATTAATAAATTTTTTTCATAAAAAATTTTTACTGTTATTTTATAAAATATTTACAACTATTTAAAAATATATGTAAAAATTTTTAAATTAAATAAATTTTTAATTTTTTATAAATAAAAATCTAAAATTTAACCTAAAATTTAGGCTAATTTTATTAAATCTCAAGTTTAATTTTAATCTTTTTTAATTTTTTAAAAATTTAAATATTAATTATATTTTATATTTAATTTTTTAAAAATTTCTATATTTGGTAAAAAAGTGTCATAATTTTCCGCCACTACTGTATCTCAAAAACTTTATTAATAACTTTTATTCAAACAAATGATATATGGGACCCCCACAGCAAAAGGAGGGGATGGGCAAAAAAATATTTTTAAAAAAGGGAAAACTTTTTTAGTGCACCTGCACTGTAGTGCACCCCCCCTTGAAAATTTTTTTAAAATTTGATTAAA